GGGATGGGTGGGTGTTGGCCCTGAAAAGCCCCTATGGGGAGTGGTCAATTAACCTATGTAACCTACGTAAGCCTAAAGGCTGGACCAGATCAGCTTAAAGCTGGTTTAAATGGAGGCCAGTGCAAACAATAGCAAAGCCAAAGCACAACAGTGGGAGCTAAGTTTCCTGCTAACCAGTACATAGAGGAAGCAGGAGATGAGGCCTAAGGTTAATCATCCTTATCCAAGAAGACTACAATATGTAACCATTTGTGAATGTTATAGCAAAGGCAACACATCAATTCTCTTCAAACAGTTATTTTAAGACCCTGAGAGTTGGTCTGGTACAGGGTGTGACCTTCCACACAGCACAGTCCAGTCATCTACATTGTGTGCAAACTGAGCAAAACTCCTTACTGAGATCATAAAAATTTACCTTCTTAGCACCATAAAAACTATTACATAACAAACACTATGGAGAATATGCATACACTTATGCTACACTGTAATTAGGCTGTTGGGAATTAAATGTCAGTGGAAGCTTGGTGGGAATAAACCACTAAGCCACCATGACCACAATGTTATCTACAACTTTCTTACTCTTTTCCTCATGCAATGCTTTTCACAGGACTTACTGTAATTTGTGAAACGAATCAAAACAAAACAAAATAAAAATCTGTTATTCGCAAAATAAAAAAAGGGAAAAAAATTTTTAACATGCCTGAACCTCAAGAAAATCAAGGAGCTTGGGTAAGTTCCATTTTCCCAGCAAACACGATATTTATCTATCATCAGTTGCCACATTTTCCATGTGTATTTTTGGTTAGGAAAGTGTCATGATTGTCATACATTCCAATCATTCTTTGACATCATTATGATACTGCATACACTTTAACAGTACAGCTATAGCACCAGCTAATATTTCATTTGCTCTTCATGGCTTATTAAAGGTGCAACTCTTCTTTTGCATTAGTTTATTCCCCAACATAGTGGAGACTTTGCAAAAAAACACCACAAAGATTTTTCATTTCTTACTTTTACTTGCTCTTGTTATTGTGATTTGTTAGGCTGCATATGCAATCCACACTTGTAGTGAACTGACCAATTCATTCTTCTGGCCTGTGGAGTTTTCCACAGAGATTCTCTTTTTGCAAGTTACAGATTTGCATTTTCCAAATTACAGATTTCTATTTTGCAAATCAGTAACAGATTTCTATTTTGCGAATTACAAATTTCTACTTTGCAAATTACAGATTTCTACCTCCTAAATCATCGACAGAGTTCTATTCTGCAGTTATCAATAATATGAATATTTAGGTGTAGTATCCTTGAGGGATTTTAAAATTATCATACAAAATTTACCTGTCAGAACCTCCTTCCTTTGAATTTGTGCCTTTTCCTTTGAACTGCATGTAGCTTTTTCTGAATATAAAGAAAATACATTCAAAATTACATTTTAGGATAAGTCTTACTTAAAAAAAACATTTCTCAGATGCGTGACCTCTCTCCTGATTTCTTTTGTCACAAATTACACTCAGTTACCCTGTAATAGTAGGAGCAATTATAAGAAGTAACCAACAGTCACTAAAAACAAGAATTGGTGACAGCTCCTGATCATTTAATACTATATTTCTACGCTTTGTTTCCAACACAAAGGAAAAAATCTTTCTTGAGGAAGTGAAGTCAGTAGCTCTACAAAGCAAACCTGTGATTTCGGTCTCCTTAGGAGTGGGACTGGTAGCCAACTGCAGAATCATCTTCTCAAATTTTTTACTTTCTTCCTTCCAATTGTACACCTTCTCATAATTCTCTCTCAGACGTACAGCAGAGGAATATCTCTCATCTGGTGTTTGTTCCGATAGCTGTTGGATTTTGGTTGCCCATTTATCTGGTGAAGCTGTGGGGATGACCACAGCCATTCCACCATCCACAGCTTGGAGGGCTTTGGCAATCCCACATTCCCTGGAGATCAGCACAGAAACACCGGCTGATATCGCCTCCAGAGCAACAAGCCCAAAGCCCTCAGTGCGGGATGGCATCACTACTAAATCTGCTTCACGAAACATCTTCTTCATTTTCTCATAACTGCAGAAGCCACGAATGGTTAACTGGTCACGTGATATCTTTGTTTCCTCCAGGAACCACTTTTCCATCTTCCGTTGTTCATCTTGTGGTGCACCAACAAAAGTGAGCTCGAATTTTCTCTCCAGCGAAGCCACAGCTTTTCCAATTATGTCATATCCTTTCAGTTCAAAGTCCTCAAAGCTTCCACGACCAAACATGAATACACTAAATTCTTCCTCTGATGATTCGAACCCTGACCACTGCTTTGCTGTTGGATTAACATACTGTTCAAAAATCCCCGGAGTAATGACTTCTACTTTGATATCCTGCAGATGTCTCTGATATTTTCTTTGTAGTAGAGGGCCTACTGCAACAGCCAAATCGGATGCTTCGCACAGCTCCAGTTCTTGTCTGTTCTTATCTTCACTATCTGCAATTGCATCAGCCGTAATGCTGCACTCTAACTTGTATTTTCCAAAATCTTCGCAGAACACATGTACAAAGTGTATCCACCTACATCTTGTAGCTTTTCGAATGAAATAAGCCGCACCACCGAACTTCCTACCGTGGCCAATGACGATGTCTGGCTTAGGAAGCTCTGATGGTGGTATTTTGATCCATTCTAGTGGATCACTGGACCCTGGAGGGCGCCGTGCTGTGATTAAATGGATTCCATTCCTGCTCGCATCTTCTCTTTCTTTTTCAGTGCTTTGGCAAACATAGCAGTGAAGCCTGATTCTGTCAATCGAATACTTTGCCAGATTTATAGCAAGTTCCCTGTTAAACGTTGATAATCCACCTTTTGAGGAGCCCCACTCGCTACAGATGAACATGACATCAATACACTCATCCACAACTGCATCTGCGCCACAAGAAGCCCCGCTCTTGAGGTCTTCACTCTCCTCTTTATCTTTCACAGGGTTCGCATTAAGTGCGTTCGAATATCCTCTTTCCATTTGCACGTCGTTATTAGCAAAATGAGGGTTGGAAAGATCATCAGAGGGGATTGGACTCGGAATCTACCAACATTGTGCACTACATTATTCCAACCAAGGTTTGGTATAAAAATTAATAACAACTGTGGTAGTTAACTGTCAAAAATAAATCGGTAAAGCTTCATTATTGCAAACATTTAAGTTAAAAAACTTTCAGTCATTTGGGTCTTGAACAAGGAAAAGGAAAGGCACTTACAATTCCGTAAGGTGGTATTCCTGATTCACAAGATTTTCTCTTGTATTTTCCTAAAAACATCAAGCGACGGTTGCTGAAAGACAGTGTTGTGGCAGTTCTCGTTCATGAAGAGGAGGCGTGGATTGTAGGATGCACACACGTTATAACGAAGGTGGAAGAACGTCTTGACCTATATTTTGTAACCGGCGGCCTAGATACGAATAATATGATGACCGCTGGCCGTAAACGATGGCCAAGCAATATCACGACAGGTCGCGTCAATCGACCAGAAGGAGGTCACGCTTTGGATGTTGCGTTATGTTGCGTCCCACTAAAAAGGGCTATGCTTACGTCACCTATCATCAATTACAAAAGTCTTGGTTTAGTAAACCGAAACACTATTTACGATCCTAGAAAAAGTAATTATGTAAGCAATTGCTTTTTTAAAAGCAAAAGAGGAATTAAGCATTAATTTTCTCCAAAGAGACGTGAATATGCAATTTACGTTCTGGATGACAAATGTTCTCTCCATACTCGGCATATTTAAACTTCTGTTGTGTCCAGACGCAGTCGAATCTATTCACTAAGGCTATTCTACACTAGTCTTTCCAAATACAACCTTTCAGTATTTTTTATGTTTTTGTGGCACACCATTACTGGTAACACAATCAAAATATAAAAGAGAGACCGAATATATATAGCTGACCACAGCTCAATGGGACAAACGAGAAAGATAAAGTGAGGCGAATATATATCAGTGTGGGCAACCTTTGCTCCCAGTATTAAAAAGACAACTCGCTTTAATTTATTATTCCACAATCACGCTATTTTACTATATCATAGCAATTGAATGTGTAAAATACGCGTCAGTATAACACTGTTGGACAGGGCTAAAATAGGGAAGAAAACGGAAGAACAAAATGGCTGCAATGAGTGATCCAAACTTTGATTTTATTAGGCCTTTTTCGGCTTTAGAGAATTTTAAAGCGCATCAGAATATTTTCTTGGTCATGAAGAACTCTTCAATGGTTTCATCTCGGTTGATTTCGTCTTTCGCTCGGTAAATGAAATAATACTGAAATAATGAATCCTCTGTCTTCGCGAGAGAACATTTTGCTCATTGCTCGTATTTCACCTCCCAAGTAACAAAGCATTTCACAATATATCTGTGCGTATTGCGGGTTATTACATCGAATAAGGTGGATTTTTATTGTTCAAAGGATTGATTTTATCTAGAGCAAAGAAACTTCAATTTGATAAGATTTACACATCACTGACGAGCTCCTAAGAGCAATAACATTATATAATTTTCTAAACTGCATCTAATCCTTAGATGCGTAAAATGTTTGGCCGCCGACATGTTTTTTGAAAGCAGAGAAAATATGAAGAAAGAAGGGAACCATAACCGTGAGACCGTGAGAGTGAAAAAAGGGAAAGAAAAAGTGGGAGGGGGATGGGACCGAGGTGGCTGAGGAAGGCAAGGAAGCCCACCTCATGGAATGCAGCTTGTATACAGCTTGTATATTACCATCTAGTTTAGCAGAATTGATTCTTTGCCTGCTCCGTCAGTAAGAGCATCAGTTTCATTTCCACCAAGCACAGTTCCTGCTGCTGCTGCTGCCTCCTGCACAGCCTCTATACACTGTGAGCTATCAGAGGAACGCTTGCGGGATTTAAAGTACAGCCATGATGCTAAACCAATAACAGACAATAATGTAGTTTTCAGAAAATCATCGGCAGTTTGTCCGCCATAAAATGACCTTCCAGCTAATGCTGGACCAGCCACAGCAAAACAGAGACCAAGAAAGCCAGCTGAACATATGCATAAACGCTGAAGGAAAAGAGTACTCTTACAATGATCTACATTACAGATGTTGTAGATGGCAACGAATAAGGCAACAATGAACAAGGCAGTGATAAGTAGAATAGACAAGCCCCAAATTGGGTTGATCATGATGCCAATTGTAACCCAATAAAAATGATATAAAACCAAGTTTATGGTCATCATTACCGAAGATCTACGACAAAATGAAAAACAGAATGTGCTCCTGGGCTTTAAATTTTTGAAAGGTACACAGCAGTGAAATAACAGTGCGAAAGATTCCAAAGCTATGACTGCAAAAATTGCGTAAAAGTCTGCTGGAATATTACCTTTGATAGAATATACGCTGGATGTCAGCACCACAGCAAAAATAGATAAAGTCTCTATCACCAACAAAAAATAAGATACAAAAGTCACAGATCGTATTAGTGGCTTTTCTTCGCAAAAACCAAATTTAAAACAACAACATGTAGCATCCTCAGAACATAATTTGCAACTCCTCTCGTCTCTAGCACTTACTTCCAAGTATGCCCAGATAAAATAGAATATTACTGGACTAAGTAACATGTCAGATATGATGGAACACCATAAAAGTGCCCTTAAGTAATGACTACGTCCTGTGGCCTCCATGTCTACAAAGTGTCCTTCTGTGACGCATTGTGCAGAGTTCATTCGGGCATCTCGTAAGCTTGGATTTACAGCAAGATCTTGAAGCTGCAGAATAATCAGACAGTAATAGTTTTCTTAAGAAACTTATCTATACTTATGGGTTAGTAAATTAACAGCTTAAAATGATATACAAATAAAATATATCGAAATTGATTGTTATCAGATTATCTTTCGTGAAAGAAGAATGCTAAAATTTGCTGCGCTCCAAATGTGGCCTAGTAGCTCAGTTGGTCGTACCACCTAAATAATACTAGGGACCTTAAGCAAACTAGCACGAATACGGCAAAGAGGACATGGAAAAACAATAGACGTAATGGGCAGAACAATAGCTGAGCTCGCGTGCTCTAAAACTTTGAACATTTCTCAGTCGTCCTCTGCAGAACAACAACGTGAAACCAAAATTGGAGTCGTCTGAAAATGGAAACCGCGACGACGAATTATTTTAATTTCCATTTGGAGCTCAGAGATGCTTATATACTTTATACTGAGGTTGAGGTGTGGCGTCCAAGAGACGGTATACACATGCAGCCATTTTCAAAATTCTAACTTAAAATAGAAATTCATTTTTTAATCGATGTCTTCCCTGGCGTTCCCGTCCTGGCTGCTTAAGGTTCCTAATATCTGGGATGCACGCATTCGAATCCCTTGGAAGCCTGAGATGGCAGCAAATCATAATAAATTAAATTAGGAAATGTTGTTTTAGTTTATACAGTAGGTCAAACTGAGGAATACAAAGTGCACTTTTAAGTTCATCCGGAATACTGTCAGTGACTTAGATCTGCAAAAGACAACCCTTAGCGAGACAAAACATCTTTTAGAAAAATAGCGAATCAATCGTATGTATGATTGTCATTGATTATTAGTGATTGTTAAAACATTAAATCAACGTATAACTGTTGTCATTCGACTTACAGAAGCTAGCACATCTTCCGTCATCCTTCTCCTGTCTTTCGTCGAAACGTTACAACAAAAATATGGAATTTTTATGTTTAGTTCTTGGGTACGAGGAGTCACAAGTATGGAACCAAGAGACAGGAACTCGAGGAAAACAGCAGGAAAAGTAGCATACAAACAGTTCAAACTCCAAGTGTAGTTAGTCACGTCGGATGTGGAATTGTCTGCGCTGTTGGATCCATTTTTGCCATACAAATTCACAAATACACGAACTGATGAAGGTTTCTTTAGTGGATATAAAGCTGACTCGATTTTAAAACTATTTTCATCTGATGCCAAGGCATAATAGATGTCAGGATAGGTTTCCAAACATGAATTAGTGTTGTCGCAATCATTTATCACATTTGTTCCTGCGTCTTTAACGACGATGCCGATCAAAAATACATGGATGAAGAGCAGACAACAGGAAGCTGGTCTTTTCACATGTACCATATTCAATTCGTCTTTAAAAGAAGGAACAAGGCGGGTAAGAACTCCAAGGACGGAAAGAGAGAGCATTGTGATCTTTTAGAAAATGCAATTGATACTGCACGAAAACATTACCCAAAAACCGAAAAACGCGATGCAAATTTGATGGAAACCGAAAACCACATACAAAAAATCTTGGTGGACCTTCTTCCGTTGCAAAATGACTTGCTTTTATCAACTGAGGTAATAATAATGTAAATTGGCCAGTAAAGATTTCCTAAAGCTGACGTGTTTTGCAGAAACGTAGCTACGCTTCTTACGTTGCAGGCTGGTTGGCAGCCATATTTACTGATACAAACATATTCAATATTCTCTAATACAGAATTAACAATTTGTAATTTATCATTGAATGGTGACGATGATGTTACTCTATGGATGATTCAATGTCTTACTCTACAGAGTAAGACATTGAATCATCCGTTTTGGCGATTTTCTGTTTAACTGGGATGTTTCGGTAAAAATGGACTTCTTTCAGATAAAAACAAATCTCAAGCAATTTGAAATTCCCTATACCAGTGTCTCCAAATTTAGAACTCAGTCCCTTTCCGTATCTCTCACCCGCCCGTGAAATCTCCTTAGCTTCAAGATAAAAATGATAGAGTCTATTTTCAGAATAATCACTGAATTGGCCAAGCCGCACATTCGCAGTCCTTTTGTTATGGTTACTTTCAAAGCTTCAAAGTAAGAGTGACTCAGCGCCTACCTGATCATGACTCCAGTGCTCTTTTCTTTAACGAAAAACCAACGAAGACGAAGACTAGGGTCGAGTTAACTTAGCTGCCAAGCACTTGTACCCAGTCTTTTAGAACTTATACATTATTCGGACTTTCGCATATCACAACGTAACTTCGTCAAACGCGATTGAGATTTTTGTTATTGAGACTTTTTATCAGTTTTAAGATTATATCACGAAAAATGAGCAAACGTGGAAACGTTAAGAAAGCACTTGATATTTTGCAAGGAACGAGGCCACAACACAAAACACACAACACACGACAACAAAGGTGAGAACCATGTTTGACTCTTAAGGCGGACCAACACAGGAAGTAACAAATCAATTCAAATCGATCAAAAGAAAGCTAAAAGATCCATCGAAAGCTCTCTCTGTTGTACTCGATACTTGTCCACTGACTAGTAATTCAAACTCTTGAAATAGATGGTCACAAGATTTTGACGAACTCGATCAACGGATCAAAAGGAAAGCAACAGCCCTCTCCATGTCAAAAACCAACTCAGAAACTCAGAAACTGAAATGGCTACCTTTTTTACTTGCCTACTATTTTCCGATAAAAATTCCAGACATTTCATCTAGGCTTCTAACACGGGATTCTAATGAACTTCATTCGCATAAAATGCCGAAGTGCTTTTTGCCACCCTGGAAGAATGATTGACTGCAATAACGTCTAGAATTCACCGGGCTCAGCACCGGGTCACAGTGAGATCTGTTTTATCGAACACATGTCATTTGCGATACGCGCTCCCCTGGAGGAAACGCAAACAAAATTTACTCTTCAAAATAACCTCCGGCACTTAGTTCATCCTAAAAGCAAAGCAGAGGTTTTTTCTATTGATTAACTTGTTATGAAATTCAACTAAATGTCATGCATTTTAAAGCTTTTGGTTTGGAGCCTGCTTATGATAGGCTCAACCTCCTTGCCATGCACTGATCAGTCGACCACGCGCTTAGAAAGTAGGGTAAATAAAACAGACCATTCGAACCGTCAGTTCATTTTTAAATGTATCTTCGTAACTGTTTTTCATCTACGAATTTTCAAGGTTGTGGTGATAATCTTCCCTTATTTGATACTGAAAAAGGTAATGGTTTATTTTACTTTTGGAAAGTGAGTCTCATCCAGAAAAGCTTCTTTTAGCAGGGGCCTCCAGTTCGTTATTTTAGAAGTCTTGTAAAGAAAAATGTCGACAGCTTTAAAATGAAACAACCGTTAGTATAAAGCTTGCTTTATGGCGCTGGAACTCATTACACCGCATTAGTAAACAAACGACAAGGTTCTGTTGCTATAAGCGAAAATCTTTAATTTGCGAATGTAAAGTTTCAACTTGTTCTATAACGGAAAAAGACGCTCAACGTCGAAGCGTTTACCAGGGATAGTTTAGGCACAGATAAATTCTCATTTGAAGTATTATATCCATCACGTGATCAAGCACATGCTATGCACCTTGACTGGTTGCTCTGGCAAATTCCTTGAGGCAGACAATACTTGAAGTAAGGGGATCTTGAACCCATTGCCGGGTTTTAATCCACTGCAGGACTCTTTCGAGGCAGCAAGTACAAAGTTTCTCTTGCCGTCACAACAGGCAGCCCAAGCTCTCTTTAAGAACCACACAAGGAACACAGTTTGCATATCAGTTTATAAGGATTTGTATGGGACTTTCTACAAGATATGTATAGAGATAGTTAAAAGTGAAAATATTAAATAAAAATGGCTTACCTTATTCTCTACGTGTGTTGTTTGCTCCTGGTGTCGATATTTTACCGATTTAACTTGATTTAAGCGGTTTCTTTAATCCTGGTTTTCTCTTCTTAAAGAGAAGACAAAGCTAAACACTTCTGTCCGGACAGCCTCCCGAACGAAGTAAAAAATCCCAAGCTAAAATTTGCCCACGGCCACAAATCCACCGCAGAATTCAAGGGCAAAGGTTGATCTTTCATTTTGATTCTCTAGCCACACAATCTCAGCCCTGCGATCGACGCCAGGCGATAAGAATAAAGACAATGACTTTATCTATTATTAAGACTGTCATTATGAAAGAACTTCATAAGTGAATTATTTCTTTTATTTACTTTTATATATTTTATATTGTATCATTAAAATATTTTCATCAAATGAATGTAATATTGTAATAATCTTTGTACTATATTTTCTAACCGCCTCCCGGTTAGAAAACCGCCTCCCGGTTAGCTTAATGGATAGACCGCTGGACTATTGTGCGGGAGGTCGAGGGTTCGAGCCCAGGCCGGACCAACACTCAGGGTCTTAAAATAATTGAGAAGAATTTGCTTCCTTTCTATAACATCAAGAAATGGTTAGATATTCTAGTCTTCTCGGATAGGAACGAATAAATGGAGGTCCCGTCTCCTGCAGGGTTGGGGTAGGAGACGTTAATTTCCCACACACGAGATTACTGTGTGATGGATGTCCTCCCCTGGGGTGGGATGGATGGGATATTGGGCGCACTTGATTTGGAGCCTCACTCTGTTGTGCGACCCTCACCACACTCTGGTGAAAGTGATTAAATAAATAATAAGAATTTTATTATATTGTAGGTCCACATCAGCCCTGTGGGCTGCCTTAATTTAACCTACATTAATAAATAAAATGATGGTGATGATGATGATCTTCGTGTCCTCAATGAAACGCTAAAACGATGGTAGACATCCGCGTCATTTTAACCACGACACAACGACCGTTGAAATCGGCTTGAAAACTTCGTTATGTTGGCAAACCAAGACTCGCAGGGGTACATACACCTACATGCAAATTGTTAAATGTGATACAAAGCCAAGAATTTAGTAAACAGCTTTAATCGTCGAAAAGCCTGTAGGTGTGAGGATGTTTTTTCTTTTCTTTGCGATTATTAGGTCGTGTCGTCTCGTTTCATGTCATGTCGTGTCGTATCGTTTCATCCCGTGTAGTGTCGTGTCGCCTCTCTCCCACGCCGCATGACTTCGCCTGCTCAACTGTAAACGCAATAAGTAGACCCTTGTTTTTCAGGATGACTCTTTATGGAATATTCTTCGAATTATTGTTCATTCTCGGAAAGAAGGTCCAACTTAAAGTGGTTTCTGTGAATGCGTGGATTGACTTTTCATATTGAACCCTTTAACTCTCAGAGGTGATCAGCATGTAACTTCTCCCTATAATATCCTTCCATTATCCAGCAAACAGGTGATCAGAGTACTGAAGCTTATCAGCTAGAAATTGTTATCTTGATCTAGCTCCAAATTCTCGTAACTTATTTGCAAGGAAATGTGTAGCAGCTATAGGGGAGAATTAACAATCAGGCTGTCGGAGACTTCGTAATTTGAATAGAACAGATGTTTAGTTTCTTAATTAACACCAGTGATTGAGGTAACCTTGAACGAACTTTGATTGATTATCACTTAGCAACGAACAATGAGAGATCCGATTAGACGTTCTATTACGTGATATCCCCATATTCAACACTAGGGCCCCACCTTTTCGAGAGTTTTTTTTACACATCCGTTGTAAGACGAATGAGAGAGAATTTTGGATTACACGTTTTGCTTTAACACAAGTCGAGTCTATTGTACGAGAGTATTAATAGGTCAAAAAACCCCTCGTAAACGGGGCAAAGTTTACGAAAAGGCCCCGGTTACTCGAAGGTTGGATAGCGCTATCCACTGAATAAAACTTTACCCGGTGGATAACGCGATAGGTTTTTCTATCACTTACCCGTGGGATAGCGATTTATCCGTGGGATAGCGATTTATCCGTGGGATAGCGATTTATCCGTGAGATAGTGATTTATCCGTGGGATAGTGATTTCATGATCCGTGGGATAGCGATTTATCCGTGGTATAGCGATTTATCGGTGGGATAGTGATTTATCGGTGGGATAGCGATTCATCCGTGGAATAGTGTTATCCACCCTTTGAACAACCGGGCCCAGATCTTGGCAGTTGAAGGGTTAACTAGGCTACTCGAAAGTTATTCAGGCTAAGGACAGAAAAATTGTAAAAACGCTAAGTTCATTTTTCGTTTCATAGTTATCAGTGATAATGTACAAAAAATTACCGAGGCCTGCTAGCTTTGATAGAACGCATACACCTACAAAGTGGCATGATCCTAATAACATTGTGTAGACCTACTGGTGTTCTTTTTCTGTCGTAAGTTGCACTGCCAAGCACATATAATTTTGAGGTAAATATATTCTGGTTCGAAAGGAAAGCTTTATCCTTCTCCTCTTTCGTTTCCCTTTAGCTGGAACCCAAAACTGATAGGGGGAGGGGGGCCACTGTATTATCGCTTTATTCAGTAAAGGTGGGAGCAAGAAAAAATGT